CCAATGCAAATTTTTATCACATTTCATAAATTAATTTTGAAGGTAATTTCTGATTGAACAATACATGGATCATACTTTTTATTTAGGTACATTTCCAACCTGATAGATACCTTTTCCAAGTAGAAAATTTTTAAAGAAAATTTTCACATTCCTATAAATATTATAAATGTTATTCAAAATGCTAGTCAATTTTTGAAAATATGTTTGAAATAATAATGAGTAAAACAATGATTATTTTCTGATTGTGCTCATTAGTTCTTAACCACATTCAAGTAAACTCAGATTTTTTATACTTTATGTTCTACTTTAGATTTTAAAAGCCTGTCTTTTTATATTACAGATCGTTGCCTTGCGTGAACAAAATGTTCATATACAAAGGAAAATGGCATCAAGTGAGGGATCCACGGAGTCAGAACATCTTGAAGGGATGGAACCTGGCCAGAAAGTTCATGAAAAGGTATGATCCATATAACATGCTCTTACATGGAAATGCTTACTTGCTATACATCATTTGACAGGAATATAAAATGTAAAATTCATGTAATAATTATTATATTTTGATTTGTTTGTCAAAAGTTCATGATGATTCCTTTTCATTTATTGCTCTAAATTTGATTCTCTTAAAAATATGTGTGTGTTGCCCTAACTGGTTTGGCTCAGTGGATAGAGAGTCGGCCTGCGGACTCAAGGGTCCCAGGTTCGATTCCATTCAAGGGCATGTACCTTGGTTGCGGGCACATCCCCAGTAGGGAGTGTGCAGTAGGCAGCTGGTCGATGTTTCTCTCTCATTGATGTTTCTAACTATCCTTCTCCCCTCCTCTCTGTAAAAAATCAATAAAATATATTAAAAAATGTGTGTGTTTATGCCCTGGCCAGTGTAGCTCACTTGGTTGCAGCATCATCCGGGATACCAAAAGGTAGTTGGTTCAATTCCTGGTCAAGGCACATACCCAGGTTTTGGCTTCAGTCCCTTATCGGGGTATGTACAGGAGGCAACTGATCAATGGATTGGTGTTTCTCTCTCACATCAATGTTTCTTCCTCTCTCTCCTTCCTCTCTCTAAAAGTCAATAAACATATCCTTGAATGAGAATTTTTAAAAAATATGTGTGTTTATGCTTATACATATATGAATGTCTCATTACTTACTATTAACTTGATTCTCTTAAAAATAATTCAATCGTATATAATTATATAACCAGGACTTTTTAAAATACAAGAACAATAGTTTTGATTTATAACTGATATTTGTACAGTTGTCAAAAATCCATGATTTATCACTACAAAAACTTTTTGATAATTTCTTATTTTACTTAGTATTTTCTGTTTGTTTGGGAAGACCTTGGCAGTACTCCTATTAATGATAAATTGCATAAAAGAATATCTAAAGTCATGGGATTTTTACTGCTTTTTTGGAAGGGAGTGATTCTCTGTTTGGGTGGGGCTTAAGCGCAGGCCAGGGAAACCAGCAGTCTGTTTGGCCCTTTTCTGTGCTGAACCAATTGTATCCAGCGCAAGAGGAAGAAGGTTCGTTGCTGGTAGGTCTGGAATCAGGTGAATGTGCACATCCTGTGCATGAGGCTCAGGCAGTCTCCTGATATTTGTCTTCAATAAGTATTATCTTTGGGTGGAATTCTTTAATCGTCAAGATCACATGAATCAGGTAGATAAATTGGTGCCATTGCAAATGTCAAGAGGTTTTAAAACATAGAGATTACAAAGCCACAAAACAAATAGCACTAGACTTTTTACTAGAAGATAAATTGAGCACTTCCTCACTCACCCAGTTGAAATAAATGGAAGGACTTCTTATGTTTCCAAATTCAGGTAAAAAAGCAAAGGAAGCCCAATAAACCAGACTGATTTCTGAGACCACCATCAAGTCTTGTGGCTAGAAGCAAACAGCCCTTTATTTAAGGTTTCATTATTTTAAGCTTTATCCATGTATTTTATAGATCTTAAAATAAATATTAAAATAAACTATAATCTGACAGCTAGATTTTATAAGCTGTATCTCAAATCTGAATACCTATTACCTCTCCATCAGATAAATGAATTGACACTAATTCAGTAAATAAACCACCAAGGTCTTTAGAATAAGGCATTTGCACATGAAACTAAATTTAGGGAACTAACATTATAATTATCTATTACTGTTTAATTTTATTTTATGAATACTATATTTATTTTATATGTATTTTATTGCTGTTTTATTTTAATTGTGTCATCAGTAATACATCCCTTTCCTCAGAGAATAATAGAATGCCACTCATTTGGATATGAAAATGGACTTTATAGTCATCTAGTCTTTGTTTTAGAAGTCTATAAAATATTGTCCTCTATAACAATGCTATATTTATAATCATCCATATTAGAATTAAAGAAAGATGCCTTTCAAAGGCAGATAACCTTGACATCTTGTCTACTAAAATAAAAACTATTTGATGCTGAAGAATTCTTCTAGTACTTCTGAAGAGGAGGGTTACTCATACAAGTTTTTTTTTCTCAAATATTGTTTAAGATATAAATCCTAAATATCCAAGCATTATAGAATGTAAGAATTCATGTCAGATTAAGTTTCAGAAATTCATTACAGAAATAGGACGAGGACCTATGTGTAACTGATGTTTTGTCTTGTGGACTCCATAGGTAGAGGAGTATGTATGGAAGATTCTGAATACTTGTCTTTAACTTTCTTTGCCTTCCAGTTTTTTGTGAAGGCATTTTAACCAGTGTAGAGAAATTCTGTGACATTGCTATCTCACCCACTCTTTTTTCCCCTCTTTATTTTTTGCTTCCATCACTATTTATCCCACCTATACTCCCGTCCACCTCCAAGCCCCCTGCATTCACCATACCATAGTCCCTGTCCATTAGTTATCCCTGTCCATTAGTTCTTATTTCATTTTCCCAATACCATTTATCACTTCTATGCCCTCTTTCATATCCTCCTCTCCCCCCCCCCGGCCACAATCACCATAGTGTTGCCTATTTCCATGAGTCCTCTCTCTTTTTTTTTCATTTTTGGTCATTTTCTCCACCCACTCCCAACAATGACACTCTCAGAAAAGACAGCGAGGACGCTAACAGGGGATACGGTGAGGAATTTGGCAAGAGACAAACTTGAACACTAGATCTCAAAATTAACTAAGCAAAGAACTTAACGATATGTAGGAGTTGGATCCTATTATAAGTATTAATAGATCAACA